AGGGGGAAGGGAAGGGTTCAGCAGGACCAGCGGGGAGAGCTTCATTCCTGCCAGTCCAACGAGCAAGCCAGGACTTGAGGCGAGAGAAAGCGCCTGGTTTGCCTGACTGGTTTGCTGGGAAGAGGCTGCAGGGCTGGCCCACAGCCTTGGCAGGCTTCCCCCACCAGGATCAGGATTATTTGGAATGGGGGGTGAAATTCCCTTTCTCTCAAATTCTGGTGAGGATTATTTTGATTTTTAAAGTTTTCCATAGAGTGTGATGGGCCTGTCTTTCCCCATTCAGCTCTAGCATTCAGCACATGGAAAAGGAGTGGGAATGCATGAGGAGGTGAGGAGGAGAAACCAGGGCCCACAAAGGACATGCAAAATTCAAGGATGCTCCAAGGACCAAGTTCCAATGTTCTCCAAAGAGAAATGAGGAAAAGCAGGAACCACAGCTGCAGAGAGGCTGCAGTGGTGTGGCACCAAGGCAATGAGGTGCTCCTGCCTGGGAATGGGGCTTGGTGGACAGCCAGGGAGCCCCAAGGAAATGCTTGGCCTTGTCCCAGCCCACTGTGACCACAGAGGGACCAGAACTCCCCAGACAGCCCTGGAGCAGCAGAGCCATCTCCCTGTCAGCCACAAGAGCTGCTGCCCACCCAAAGCCACTAAAGTGACACTTGGAGCACAGCCTGCTGGCCCTTCCCTGTCTCTCCAGGGATGTGGATGAGGATGACAGGAGGAGTGTCATGGACCCAGCCAGCAGCTCTGCAGGCACCTCCAGCACCCCCTGCCAGGGCATGGGATCTCTGTGTCCTAGACAGGATGCAGGGATACAGGGATGGAGAATGAAGGACACAGAAACAGAAGGACACAGGGCTGCAGGGACACAAGGATCAAGGACACAGAGATCACAGAGATGGCAGCAGGAGGTTTGGCTCCCACCTGGTGTTTCAGCTGTGCCATGGTGACAGGGACATGGGATAAAGGACAGACACGGGATAAAGGACAAACATGGGATAAAGGACAAACATGGGATAAAGGACAGTGGGCCCAGGTAATGCTGATGGTGAAATCCAGGGAGACAGAGTGGGAAGGGCAGACGGAAATGCCTGTGGGACAGAGCAGGTGATAACCCACCCCCACAGCAGCTTCCATGGCCAAGGTGTGCAGCTCCTTTGGGATGTTGCTCTGGCTGAACAGCATCCCTACCAAAGCACACAGCTCCTCGAAAAGTGTGGCTGGAGGAGCTGGGACCTCCTGTCTACCTTCTGGATTTAGGAATTCTCTCCCTACAACCCAATTCCTGTACCCACAGGTGGGCTTTGTGTTTTTTTCTGACTGCTAGAGGCTAAGAACCCTGGGGGGTGAGGATCAACGGGCAAAGCTCTCAACAGGAGCCCATTCCCTGAATCCCTGGTCTCAGAAAGCTCCCTGCAAACAGCCAGACCTGCAGCCAGGCCACTCTGCATCCGGATTTGGGTAAATAAAGCACGGGGTGTGAGAGCTGTGGTATGCCAGGAATGCTGCCGGCCTTCCCGGCTCTGGAGCGGCGGGAGCTGGGGGAGGCAGGGCAGGTACAGCCCTGGCTGGAGGCCACCAGGATCCCCCAGATATATTCCCGACCTCAGCAGTTCCCTGTGAGCTTCCCACCCCGTTCTTCCCATCTCTGGCCCCGTTTCAGGGTCCTTTTCAGCCTTCTGCATAGGCAGAGCTGATTTCCCTGCTCACAACACCCAGGAGAAGCCATTGGTGCATAGGAGGATCCCTGCTCCAAGCTTCACATTGCTCCAAGCCTCCCTAACCTGCTCCTCAGGGATAGAGACCTGTCCCACAGCCATAGAAAGACCCAAATTTTCAATTTTTAGCCATACTTCTTCCAGATTCCTGAATGGAATGGGGCTCAGCTGGGATTCAGCATCACTGTCCCCCCAAGACCAGTGATCCTCAATGGAGTCCTAAGGCATCCTGCCCAGGGAAGGGATGGAATCACCATCCTTGGAAGTGTTGAAAAACATGTGGATGTGGTGCTTGGGGGCATGGTTTAGTGGTGGCTTTGGCAGTGCTGGGTTAACAGTTGGGCTTGATGATCTTGAAGTGCTTTTCCAACCTAAATGATTCCATGGTTCCATGTAAGAGCTGGCAGCAAAACTGATTTCTGATGCTGCTGTTCCACATAATCCAAGCTAAACAACTTTGCACAGCACAGGAGCTCCTGGTCCCCAGGGACAGCAGGATAACAAAGATGAGCTCCCAGTTAATGCCAAGGGGTGGCACAAAGGGAAAGCCTTGGCCTGGCTGGAGATGGCAGAGTCCCCAGGGATGTTCCCTGGGAAGCATTAACACCACATTTATCAGAAAATAAAAGTCCAGCATCTGGAAAACTTCTGGTCTTCCAGAAGATCAAGGAGCCAGGCAGAGTGGGAAGGGCTTGGAAATTGGTGACAAAGCCAAGGAGAGCTTGGAGACCAGGTCCATCCACGCTGGAAGACATCAGGGAGTCTTTTAAACAGTTTTCCATGTGGCAAGGGCTGAGGAGGGCAGGAAGGGGTTTTGTGAGGAAGAGGAGGAGCCCATCAGGATGCAGTTATGGGATGCAGGGATCAAGGACAGCAGGGTGCAAGGATGGAGGACACAGGGATGCAGGGTCATGAGGATGCAGAAACCAAGGATACAGGGATACAGGGATGCCAAGGCAGGAAGGAAACCACATCAACACTTTTAGGCAACTCCATCCTTTTCCCCCCATGAAGATGAGGGCAATGAGATCCCAAAGGTATTTTGGGGAATGCAGAAATCCTCCTGAGCATTTTTCCCCTCTTCCATGCAGTTGCACCCCAAATCTCTGCCCTGAGGAGCTGGGAAGGACATGTGAACCAGGGGGTCAGCACTCCCAGACCCTCTTCCCCTGGTGGCACATCCATCTCTCTGCATTGCATGGAAAAAAAAGAGAATCCACGGATCAATATTTGGGTTTTTTTATTAAAATATTGTTATACCAAGTGGAATGCTACAGCAATCTCGGTATAGGGTGGCATAACGAAACAGCCAGGTTTATGTTTAAATACTTAAAGATAACTTAAAACGCACAAACGAGAACTTGTCGTCTTTGGCAGGAAAAAAAGTTCACAGCACGAAAAAAATACTTAAAAAGAAATACCAATATTAATATAAAATATATTAAGTCATGGGGTTTGGGGTCTTTTTTCCTCTTTCATAATTTTTTGTTTCTTTTCCATTTTGTAAACAATGCACGAGAACCGAACGCATTTTTTACGTGTCTGGGGAGAGAAAAATAAAAAATGCAGTTGGCCAGCAAATGCACATGTTGAAAGGGGAAAGAAATAAAGAAAAATATATATATTTACATGAAGGGCAAGGATGGGAAGCTCCAAGGAGCGGGATGTTGGCACTGGCTACAAGCAGAAGCCAGCTGCCAGTAGCCAGGGGACAGAGCCAGGAGAAGAGTGGCACATCCCACTGCCTCCATCCTCAGAGCCTTTCACCTCCACTTTTCCTCCACCCTTCATCCCCTCCATTGTCATTTTTGCTTCACCGTCACCCCATCACAAAGCCCATGACTGGCAGGACGCAGGTGATGGGAGTTTGGTGCTCCCAGTGCTTGGCTTGGCCACGTGGATCCGGGTGGTCGATGGGACGCGCAGAGGATCCCTCCCAGCTCTGCCCTCGTGCAGAGAGTTCAGCTTGTGGGTACAGTTCGGGCCATCAGAGAGGGATTCTGCAGCTGGAAGCCAAGCACCTGGCTGGGTGCAGATGGCCAAGACCAGAAGTGGGAGCTGGGATGTAGATGAAGTTGGGATGGAGCCACCGCAGGGTCCCTGGGCTCCAGCGCGCCCTGCGCAGCCAGGGACCTGTGTGGGCACTGAGGGGACAGTGACCCTGCCACATCCTGGAGTCACTGCTGAGACCGAGGGGACACTGCTGAGCACCCAGCTCGGCCCCTCCTTCCCAGACGCTTCTCCATCCCAACATGCTGGCAGGAGGGACGCTGCCACATCCTGGAGTCACTGCCGAGACCAAGAGGACAGCGTTGAGCTCCCGGCTCGGCCCCTCCTTCCCAGACACTTCTCCATCCCAGCATGCTGGCAGGAGGGGTGGAGAGGCCACCATGCAGCCCTGGGTGGCCTTAAATCAGGATCTCCACCATGTCAGACAGGTCCAGGGCTCTAGCAGCGGCCGAGCTCTCTGCAAAGAAAGAAAGGATTTACAGGGATTCGCAGGGATTCGAACCCACCCAACTCAACTGGGGCCTCAAAAATGCCTTTAAAAATTGCTGATTTTGTGCAAAGCCCATCCCAGGGATGCTAACCCCACATGCTGGGCCATCCAAACTCCCTGCCCCGTGCCATCCAGGGGGACTCACCCAGCACTGCGGTGCCCTCACCCTGCTCGCTGCTCCCGGCCGCTCCGTCTGTCTGCGTGCTGCCGTCCTTGCTGCCGTGCTTGGAGTGGGATGGCAGGGGAAGGGCAGTGGACACTGCTGTCCCTTCAACGGTGGCTTTGCCTGCTGGAGGAGACTCTGTTAGGGATTCAAGGCAAGGGATTTGAGTTTTTAAGGCCAGATTAGACAGTGGAAGTTGTCCCTGCCCACAGAAGAGGGTAGAACAAGATGAGCTTAAAGGTCCCTTCCAACCCAAACCATTCTGTGATTGCTGGCTGATCCTGGAGTAATCACCCCTCCCCAGGCTCTCCAACTCCAAAACCACAGGATCAAATTGCAAGCAGGTCCCCAGCGCCAAATGAAGGCAGGGAGTGGGCAGGTGTCCCTATTTACCTGTGCTGCCATGGGAGCTGCTCTCGGATGAGCGGTCACTCTGGCCGGCCCCTGGCCAGCTCGGGGCGGCGGAGGCAGCGAAGATGGAGGGCACGGATTTGGCCGGCCGCAGGGAGCCCTGAAGGGCTTTGCTGGGGTCCCTCCGTGAGCGCTGCTGCAGGACCTTGATGACAGCATCCTTCTCCAGGATTTGGGCATGAAGGGCTTTTAACCTGGAGAGAAGGAAAGGCAGAAGCTGAAAGAGGAGCTGGATGGGAAGAGGAGGACCCAGACACTGTCCAACCAAAAATTTGATGGGGTCCAAACACCTCTGGCAAGGTGGGACTAACCTGTTCTCCATCTCCTGGTGCTTGTGGCTGGCCAGGAGCAGGTCCTCGTTGAAGCTGCTGTTGGGGGAGTGCCGTGGTGAGTGGCTGATGAGGGTGGTGTCGCGCTGCGCGGCCGCCGTGGCCGCGGCGTCCATGGCGAACTGGCGCATGGTGCACTCCTCCAGGTACTTCTGCTCCCACTTGGTCATGTCGGCCTCCAGCGCCAGGATCTTCTCCTCCCTCTCCCTCAGCTGCTCCGACAGCGTGTGGGCACTCAGCTCCGGCGTCCCCCCGCTGGCCATGCCCGCCTGCCTCTGCAACGGCCAAAACAGAGCCCCAGTGAGGATGAGGAGGTGCTGGGGGCAGGCAGCACCTGCCGTGCCTGGCTGGAGCCACCGCGTGTCACAGACATCTTTTATGGAAAATCTTTTTTTTAACATTTTTCCTCTTGAGAACAAAATGTAAACAACGGTTATCTGCTGCTGTGGAATGCAACAGGTGGATCTTTGATTGGCCTATGTTAGCTGTTTCTAATTAACGGCCAATCACAGTGACCTAACTCGGACAGAGAGTCTGAGGCACAAACTTTTGTTATCATTCTTTCTTTTGCTATTCTTAGCTAGCCTTCTGATAAAATCCTTTCTTCTATTCTTTTAATATAGTTTTAATATAATATATATCATAAAATAACAAATCAAACATGGAGTCAGATCCTCATCTCTTCCCTCATCCTAAGACCCCTTTGAGCACCGTCACAGCCTTGCCAGCACCCACCTGCTGAGCCCGCAGCATCTTCAGCTCCTGCTCCAGGCGGGTGCGGAGCCGCAGCTCCA